TTGGTTGTCAGTTCAAAAGAGGCAGGAGTTGGGAGGAGACAACATGCATTATATCATGACAATTTATTTCTGAATGATTGTGATCATCCAAAATGATTCTTAATAGCATTTCTGATGTTTTTTTTTTTTAAGTGGCTGCTAGAAGCAAGCAGTCAGCAACATTCATCTCTCGAGCGGGTGTCTAACTCAGTGTTAGGGTGTGTTTGACCCTAACTTAATTTTACGCCGGTATATCCCTTTAAGTAAGTGTAAGACTTTATGAACAGACCTATTATGACAGAACCAGAGACTGGATTTCACTTACTTTTATATCAAGAAATGGCTCTGTGTGTTCAACTGAAATAGGGAGTACAAGAAGTGCAAGTTTTCCAGGGTCACATTTTAACCTTGAAGTTGTTCGAAGAAATGAAACATTTGCCAATTGATTTTCAGTGAAAATTATTAACAGACACAGATGTTTGATTATTTGGCGTTACACAAATCAATCATCTTCACAAAAAAATTTGAACAAAAGGCTGCCCTTCGAAAAACTTAGTCTATTCAAAGTAAGACTTTCTGTACGCCAAAAAGCAAAACTAGAAAGGTTATATGAAGACGCTTTCACTTTCTCCACTGATGTCAATGACGATACATCATTAAACTGCTGCACAAAGCTGACTCTAGCATACTGAGCAGGAAGATAAAATCATGAAGGAATGAGAACTGAAATTATCACAAAACACGAGGTTTGTGGCCTTGGATTATGTTGCACAGCGGTGAAGTACGTTTGAGCTGCCATTGTGCGTCACCAGTCTTCACTGTGGAACCTTTACCTGGCTATTCATGATCACAAAATCTGGGGTCCTGAGCTGTTGTGTGTGATGTGCTTCTTTAGAGCTTGATTTCAACCAAAGAGAAAAAACTAATGCTACAATTCTATTGACTGCAACTGTTCACACAAAGGCAGAAGTCAGAATATTGTTGAAAAAGTCTGTCTTTCGAAAGAGAACATTATTGAACTTTTCCACTCCTTTTCAAACTACTACTGACAAGTTTAAGGTCGTAAATCTCTGCAGCTTTACTGTCTTTGTAACAACCTTCCCACAGATAAAGAACGTGCTGCTATAGATGAGAGGTTGATATTATTTATCCGATTTTTTAACCATGACATTACGAATTTCTGTATGCTGACTTTAAATTTGCAATTTAGTCTTGCAGGTTCCTCTAAACTTTCAGGGGGATCTGCAGGTGTGAATGCAAACAAATGCAATTTTCACCCTGAATTTAGCCAGGATTTTTCCAGAAAAAATCCTAGCTACATACAGGGTGAAATCTGGGAAACATTGGGCTTCATTGTTGTTGTTGCTTTGGGGAGGTTGTATATTGCATACCAATCAAGATGTAGATGCTAATATAGCAGTCTATGTGCTTTGTACCCTTTAAACTCAATCAGAGCATTTCTACCCTAAAGCTATCTTTGACTTCACTCAACACATAGCACATTCACATGCAGACTGGCTGTGAAACCAAATTCATCTTTGTATTCCTGCTACAAATTAAAGAGCCAGATTGTTTGTGTCATGGCTGGCAAAAGCAGACCAGAATTTTTTTGATTTTGGACCCAGCAAACTGAGTTGTGTAACACAGCTGAAGCAAAAATCTTCAGACAATAGTAGTTGATGTAAGGGGTAATTTGCGAGTACCATCTGGTATTTCCTAATAAATGTAGATAATTATGTAAAGTACTGAAACTAAAAGGCCAGCGATTTAGAGGCTTTTTCAGTATCATGTTCAGGTTTTGAATTTAAAGATGTTTTTAGCCCCCAGTTGCCTTAAAATACCCTCAAAAGTTGCCTATGGAATTAAATGTTTGAAATGAATATGCTAAAAAGTGTGTCGCTCAAGGACAGTGGTCACTGACTTGGCATTAGTGTGGCTGCAGAAGAAAATAGCTTCAGTTCCTAAAGTGTCCACAAGAGGGTCCCTCCAAAAGCCAAAAGCCTCTTAAAAACTGTAATTCTGCAACCGTTTCTGACACTTCAAAATGCTTCCACACAGCATATATGAGGAAGTTATTTCATGCGTATACACTAAATAATGCATCACCTTTTTGGCCGAAAGTTTCAATGATAGAAATTCACATCTGCATAACTAACTTTTTTAACTAATTAGCTTTCAACTGCTGATACCAATATAATGCTGATAATACTCAACACCTTGCACTCTGCAGCACCGTAATATTGTTGTCCTAGGGTGGGATTTGACATTTAAATACAGTATTGTAAGCATGAGAAGCACAGATTGTTAGCACACGTGAACAGGAGGACACACAAATCTCAACCATGCACATACATACAGGGCGGTTGGGATTATCATGGCACACTGCAGACGAGGAGCGCAAATTCCCCACCTTACAAAAACACAATTAGAGCTGTATAAAACATGGATATAGTCTGAGTAACGCCACCCACTAGCTTCTGAGGCGGAAATTTTGATGCCTTTGTAAACGCTGACTTAACCAGGCTTTCGCCAATCTATCAAGCAGTAAAGATGCAGGGCTGAGGTGGACCGACAGTTACAGTGTTTACGCTTGTGCCCCCAATCAAGCAAAACCCAGAACATGAGCATCCCAAAAAATAATGAGGTATAAGAAAAATTCCCCCTGCACAGTGTGCGATGATAGAGATAGGAGCTAATCAGACTGAAGTAGTTTTTTTACCAGCCTGTAAACAATAGAGATTATTGGCCAATAATAGGGACCAATACTTGACGTTCAACTGACTATCTATGTTGACTTTTTACTTTGCAGATGGCCGACAATTAAATGATTTAAAAGTGCATCACTTTGACCTCCCTGCTGGTGTGTCTTTCCCTCCCGGTCTGTTTTCAGTCTTTCTCCGAGAAACCATTCAATTGGCTGGACGTCACATGACTGTGTGACAAAACTGTAACTATTTCACTGTTGACTTCTCTGTATGATGTTGTATGTTTCAGTTTTTATACAGTTATTAGTCTCATGAACAACTATCCATCTATATCAGTATCAGCCCTAAAAAGATATTGATTAACACCTAAGAAAAATGTTTATCTTTGCTTTTTTGAATGGGTGTTTATGTGGTTTTTGAAGCGTTTGGAGACTGCCTCAAGTGGACATACAAGGAAGTGCAATTTTAAACATCTGCAGTAGCTTCATATTATAAGAGCAAATGTTGGCGCCTGCTTAGAGCACCAAGTCTTCACCAATTTTGTGATCAGTTCAAAGTTATTCTGAGTCAGCATTTCCAATATGCTGACTGGCATTTTAGAAAACCAACGGGTGACGTCAATGAGACGACATCCCTTTTTTTATACGATTTCAGCTAGGCAAAGGCACTCTCAAATTTGACACCGTCTGTACTTTGCAAATCCTCTGAAACACTCGTTCAGACTGACAACAGGTAAGAACTTCCCTTTACTAGTTTCTACGTTTTGCTTGGGAGCAAAACCTTACAAATGGCTCAAGGGGCTCTTGCCTGCTTAACTGAACTCATGCAGAGAAAATCTGAGCGAAACCACACTTAATGGGAGAAATAACTGCTTTACAAGCTGGATAATGACCAAGGGGAGCTAACAGTGGCAGACTACAGGCCACAAAGGACCACAAAGCAGCATCCACACCCTGACTGGCAGCTGTCACTTAGCTGTGTGAGGCCCTCTGAGGTGTTCAGGAGATAACGGCCGGTGTAAAAGGATCCTTGGTGGACACTGTTGCAGCTCACTTGTTTCTTAACCTCACAATGGATAACAGATGTGCAGGATTCACATGAGGAATTTTCTTTCCTGTATAACAAAGCCCTTGAAGCTCGTGTAATATTTGTGTGTGTGTGTGTGTGTGTGTGTGTGTGTGTGTGTGTGTGTGTGTGTGTGTGTGTGTGTGTGTGTGTGTGTGTGTTTAAGGGGCACTGTGAAGAGGTGGGAGGGTAAAAGGGGGGTGGGAGGTGTATTACAGAGCTCCTCACACACACACTCCCCTCCCACTTTGATCTCAGAGCATGAAGGTTGAGATTTATCAGTGTGTGGAGGAGAAACTCTCAGACTTTCTCACAACTTTTCCAAGATGTAGAAGGAAGATAAATAAATAAATGAGGAGTACTCACCCTCTCTATCTACTTCACCAGCCTGTGGGAGGGAGGGGAGAAGAAAGCTCGTTAAAGACGTGGAGGAAATCATAATAATCTGAGATGTCCAGGAGAAGTTTACAGCAGGCTGAGCGGCTTGTAAAAATTAACAAAAATGCCTCTATTTTACTCGTCTTATGTAACATGCCTGTGCAGTGTCAACATGGATTTGACAGAGGAAGCAGTGTGCGCATTTACAGAAACTTTTTACACACTTAAACCTGTTGCTGTGTCGATAAACTGAACTTCCCAAGTTAACAGTTTGACATATGTAAAAATAACGGAGTTTAAGCTATAAGGGTAAACAGAAATCGCACATTTGAGGTGAAAAAAAGCAGCTAAGAAGCGGTTCTGACACTTACCTTGTCAGCTGAAGTCAACACAAATCCTACAAGTAGTAACGCTAGTGACAGGACAGCCATCACGAGTTTAAGGGTGATAAAACTTTATCCAATTTTTTCTAAAAAGATTAAAAAAATAAAAAATAAAAGTAAAATTCGGGAAAACTCTCTACGCAAGCGTGACCCGGTTCATTCAAAAAAGTTTGTCAAAGTGTGTGTGCGGACGTGGGTTCAAAAAGAAAACACACTTCAGAGAAGCTAAAGTTTCATTAAAAGAGGAGTGAGGCGAGTGGCGACACTTTGTCAGTCAGTCAGTCAGTCTCAGTGTTTGTCTGTTGACTGAGTTTCCAGAAAGTTTTGGAGGAGTTAGCAGGACATCCCCTCTGCCGCTGGCCGGACAGAGCTGCAGTGTGGAGCTCGTGCAACCTGGCACTTGGCTCCCCTGGCTAATAAACTCCGGTAAGACCAGCCTCACGTGACGTCAGCGAGCCCTTTCCTCCTCCAGCCTGAACACATGGAGGGACAGAGGAGGAGGAGGAGGAGGAGGAAGATCCCCCCTCCCCAAACTGATTCAGGGACAGCAGGGATCCACACAAAGTGATACATACTTCAGAAAGTTATCTGAACTTCATTTACAGGTGTGTGAACAGTTTAGTGGCAGACTTAGCAGAGTACAGTTTTAAAGTGTAGGCTTGTGGAAATACCATTTAATATTATCATCACATGTAGGCCTCTTTGTTATCTTTAGACATTTAAAACTTGAAAGATTAAATAATAATAATAGTAAGCAAACAGATGACAAAAGATGTGCTGTGTTGATCTCTGGAGAAAACTCAGTTTTTATAGTAGCTCTTACAAAGAAAAAATTAAACACAATAAACAAAAAAGGAAAAGGGGGATATTAGCAAGAAACTTTGTTAATCAAATATAAAAAAATATACAATAACTAACCAAATTGAGCTTTCAGTGGATATAAAATAAAAAATGACAGACAAAATTGATTGCAATCTTTTTTTACTCTGATCAAGTCAGACTAATTTAGTAACAGGAGAAAAAAAACAAAAGGATAACATCAACAGAAATAAAACCATATACGGAGCAAACAAAAGCAGCAAAACAATAAATATATGGAGCAACAAAATGAGGAACAAGAAAGAAAGAAAGAAAGAAAGAAAACATCACAAATACTTCAACAAACCTAAAAAAAAAAAAAAAACATAAAAAAAGAACAAAAAATAAAATAAAATAAAAAAGAAACAAACATTGAAAAAAAAAACGGGAAAGGAAAAAGACAAAATAAAACAAAACGAAAGAATAGAAAAAAAGAAAAATCAAAGCAATAAATTGAGTCAACTAATCTGCACACAGGTTAATATTTCTGACACCGTGCAATCGTTTTTGCTCCTTCATTTCATTCATAAATTTATCCACCTACTCATTAAAAAGGAAAAGGAAACCACCAAACTTTGTCAGCTTAACATTAAAGGGATATGCCAACAAGTTTGTTGCAGAATCATGAGTTAAAGGCTTATGTATATGGGCATGAGCTTCCCTTTTTCTCCGTGTTAGTCAGCATGAATTTAACACAGATGTGTCTAATTTCAGGAGGGAGCTCAGTGGTAAAGTGAGTCATCTCCCAACTACACAATAAACGGGTCAATCAGCCTATTGTTCAAAAATTTAGATCCCAATGAAACTGATGACTGATTTTTTTCTTTAATTTATGATGAACAGTTACAGATACAGACTGATGAGCAAACCAAGATTACACAAGAGGCAATAACTCGACTGTTTCCTGACAGTCACCCCTCCGAAATGACCGAGAACTATCCAGAAATATGCAGAGTACATTCTTCAGGATCAGTTCACAAGAGGTAGTATCAGACACAAAAATCTCACTGCACTCAAAAACTGAAAGCAACATCACTTGAGACATTACAGAACAAAGATGTCTGGCAGAAACCTCTATATTTTTCTTTTCTATTTTTTTCTTTTTAACATTAATCAATGTTGTTGACCTCCCTCTATGTCTATCATTAAGCTTTCAAACAATCTAACAAATGAAGCTTGTGGTTGAATCTCATGCAGCATGTAGTTAAGTAAAAAAAACAAAGTTTTTTTTATTTTTTTATTTTTTTCCTTCCTGGAAGAACAGTGGTTTTAAAGATACATGGTTTCTGCTCATTGGTGACAAAATGACAATTATATGAGGGATTTTCTTCATGAAACAAACAAAGTTATTCCATGTGGAGGATGCATTCAAGAACATCATTTTTCGACCTTGTTAAAATCAAAGTCAAAGATGATTGTTTCAGTTAAAAAGTTTGAGCCTCAAAGAAAAAGCTTTTGTACATTATCCAGTTTTAGAAACGCTTTAGCAAAATATGTGTCAAAATTAATTATAAGAGTTTGTAATTTATGCTGGTTGGCACAAAGACAGGGGATATGTGCAAACTTACTAAACTACAGATAATAATGTGGGGACTGTTTCACAAAGTGCTGCAAAATAAGTTTGATCCACGCATTATTGCATCGCTGCATCCTGCAAAATCATAGTTTCACTTTACTTTTAAGCTTGCTTTGAGGCTGACCTTTATGTCAAATACATCATTACAATGTTAGAAGGGGATAGTTGTCAGTGTTTTAACCACAGCAGGATTTGTCTGGCTCAGATTTGTTAATCTGATGGACTTTAAGAGGCTTAGAGAAGTTAGAAAGTATTGGTGCCTCTCTTTTTTGAATACATGTCTCTTTTAGTCTTGCAAAGTCGAGGTTAGACCTCAATCACTGACAGTAGTTCTTCTATCAGGAATAATTTCATTCCCTTCCCCTGCCTATCCTCATCTGAACACATGGTGGGACAGGAGAACCAGGAGTGGCACCAAGTTTTCAGAGCCCAAACTGACGAGGAAAAGTCAGGGAAACAAAAACTAACGCTGAGAAAACAAGCCAGCTCCTATACAGTACAGGCCAAAAGTTTGGACCCACCTTCTCATTCAATGCATTTTCTTTATTCTCATTACTATTTAAATTGTAGATTCTCAGTGAGGGCATCAAAACTATGAATGAACACATGTGGAATCATGTGCGTAAGAAAAAAGTGTGAAATAGCTTGAAAACATGTTTTATATTGTAGATTCCTCAAAGTAGCCACCCTTTGCGTTTTTTATAGCGCTGCAAACTTTTGCTGTTCTCTCAATGAGCTTCATGAGGTAGTCATGAAATGGTTTTTACTTCACAGGTGTGCCTTGTCAGGGTTACTTCAGGACTTTACTTCTGTCATCAAGAGCAAAGGGTGGCTACTTTAAAGAAACTAGAATATAAAACATGTTTTCAGTTATTTCACACTTTTATAAGAACAAAATTCCACATGTGTTCATTCATAGTTTTCATGCCTTCAGTGATAATCCACAATGTAAATAGTGAGAAGGTGTGTCCAAACTTTTGGCCTGTACTGTATATAACATAAAAGGCTATTGTATCACAGAGTCATTGGACAGTTAGGAACAATATAACTACAAACTTTGGCCCTTTGTTCTGCAAAGTTTTGCTGCAGTGAGACCTAAAACTCCCAAACAGCTGAATCCATTTTGCACGAACCATTTGTGAGAGCAGCAGAGTTCTTGTCTCCGCTGAGTGAAAGGATCCATAGGGCAGGAGTTGCATGTAAAATCAGGTTTGGGGGCACAGAGATAATTTGCAATAATATAGACTGTAGTCTGCCTCATTACTGTCTACGTTCTCTCTTCGTCTTCCTCCATGTCAGCACGCTCTCTGAGGTTTAAATGCCAAGACTTCAGATTCTAAAAAGGATCAGTGTCGTCTTTGAATATTAATACAGAATCCCAGCATGTGCTAATGGGACACCATTGGTCAAATCTGTGAAAATTTAATATGAAACAGCACAGAAGTCTCCACTGAATGTCAGCATGACAAGAAGGGAAATAGTCTGGACCTGGACCCCTTGAATAATAGTGTCATTAATAAATATTGATAGATTCAAATGAAAAAGACTCTATTCAGATCCTGCCTGTAAACTGGGAGTGGTGAGTGTGGATGAATCATGTTTGATATCCTGAGATAAAGTCCTTCTCTAATCTGAATTTATAGATTCTTTTGAAATGTTGTCCACAAGTCTTTCAGGTATTTGCAAAAAAAACAACACACAGGATATCAGTCTGTACAAAGAGTAAAAGAGGTTTACAGGTTCACAAAGGTGACATACATAGATCTGGCATTTATAAAAAACAGCATTTAAGTTAATGATTCAGAAATCAACATTCATATAACCTGTTGAAAATGCAATCGTCCAACTCTCTTTCTGCTGTAACAAAGAGGGTCTTAATAGTCCGAGTCCTGTTAAAGATTTAATCCAAACAACATCCAAAGAACTACAAAGCACCGGTTCATGAATGAATGATCTGGATCACTGAAAAGAGCCTGAATTTCCAACAGTTGTTGCATTTAGGCCAGCAAAGGTGTCTTACCTGAGGGAGATAGATCCATACCGTGTTCTTACATGATAAGATGGATCACAGACATCTTGAGCAAGAGCATGCAGACTTTATAGGCTTAAAGTCCCATTCTGATTATTATTATTAGTCGTGGGTGGAGACAGCGCTGCTCTGCACACTACTCTTCACACTAGCTTGCAGCCTAATATTGCCGGTGCAGCGGAAGTGGTAGGTAATATAGAAGCTATTCAGCTCTCGGACACTTATGTCTTTAGGGAAATGGTGAAAGCTAATAGCATTATTAGCTTTCTTACAAGCATTGCAATCCGGTAACACACACTTGTTCTGCACTTGCCCTCTTTACTTCTTGGGCTCTGGCTGCAGAGGGGGTGCCAGGGGCTGAGCTTGGATTTGTGATGTAGAAATTTCTACTGCGTCTGAACCATAGACAGTCTATGGTCTGAACAGGCCGTTTGGGTCTGCAAGAGGTTCACAGCAATTTGAATGCAGAAATACTCAGAGATGCAATTTTGCGCCTAGTTTTCTCATGCTATCTCCTCTAGCATCAGAAAAATGTCATATGATCATGTAGACAACAAGTAAAACAGGATTTTCATTGGAGTGAGTCTTTAAAGTAATCTGTGGATCTTTATGAATATGGTGGCGCAGCTTTATCATATCTTAAGGGTCTATGTTTATAGAATATGATCTAGATCAACTTTTTCAGTTTCTTGGATTAACACTTGTTGTAAAATGGCGCTATATAAGTAAATTTATGTCAGTGGTAGGGTACTGTTTATCTGTTAAATTTGAACTAAATTAAGGAATTAACTGTCTTTGTTAACATATAAGCAGTTACAGTGTTTATTTTTGTGCTCACCTCTGTCGGTTTATTTGCAGAACCCAAGACTCAAGCACAGCACAGAAATAAGGAGGGAAAGAGACAAAATGACCCAGACATCTATCAAACTGAAGAAAGCAGAAATAAAACAAAGGCAGAATTACATATGTTATGGGCTCAAAACGTCGCTTGAAACTGTTTAAATATAAATTCATCAGAAAGTAAAATATCTTATCAGAATAAAACAGGTAGAAATGAGAATAAAATGGGGCTAAAAGCTGAGTTTTGGTGGGAAGACTCCAAAAGTGTTTCTGTTGGGGCATTTTGACCTGTGACTTATATTGTCTTTTCCTGTTGGCGCTGTGTGTTGAAGCTTTAAAATGAACTTTTTGCGCTCAGTCAATATTTCAAGTGAACTAGCCCACGCTGATGTTGCAGCTTTCTCAAACCTGAGACAGAGATCACTGTTTGACCCCTGCTCTCAAGAGAACTGTATCATATAGCAGAGAGATGTTGTAACGACGACAGAAATATAATTAATTTACTGACTCTGGTGGCTTTAAACAAAGAGGAACTTTTGTGATGAGGTTCGAGGTCTTACACTGAGACAGCAGCATCAATGAGAAGAGGTCAAGTTAGTCTGACAGCAGCCCTGACCTCTTTTTGCATCAGTTATTGAGGTTTTTATAGATATTACTCAGAGCCTGAAAGCAATAATTCAGTGTTTCACTGATCAAGAAAAAACATTTCTCACACTTTCTGGGCTGCAGCTCATGTCTGAACTGGTCTCTTAAATTGGAGTCATATAAAACACCCACTTTCAAGAACCACTTCTTGGTCAGACCCTGATTCATCACCAGGTCTGGATCTTCCTCCTGTCTCTTCCTCTGTGAGAGTGACTTGTCTGACTGATGAACCCCCTAGACACGGTGTGAGTTTGGCTTCATCACACATGGACGACACATGAACATATATCACTGCTTTTATTGGGCACAACGAAAGGGCCGTCAGAGGTCTGTGTCGAGACATTCTGCTCACTTTCCTCCCCCTCCTCCCCCCTTTCTTTTCTCTCTCACTCTTTCTCTGTTTGTCTGTCTGCTCTGTGAAGTTCCCTATCAATGACCTGATAAGAAAAAGAAGAAATAACAAGCCCGGCATTGTCGTCATTGTTGTTGTTGCTGCATGCTCCTGTTTGCAGACCTGGCTCTGCTGGGCTGTAGGTGAGCCGCCTGCAGATAAGGAAACTCTAATTAAGCGCCACATCTGCACACCTCATGGCTTCACTGCTGTGGGAGAGGAAGAGACAGACAGAGAGGGAGAGAGAAAGGTGAGAGAAAGTAGGTGAGGGGATTCAGAATGTGAAGAGAAAGACACAAGAGGACAGGCTTAGAGGGGGAGATGAGGACAGCCGGGAGGAGTGAAAGAGTGAATTTCCTTTTTTTTCTTATGGAGTCAAGGTTTCCTGGTTTGTTAGTTTATCAACATCCTGTCCATCGTTGACCCGCCGCTCATACACAGACCCTCTGACTTCCCTCATGTGGCCTCAGAGTACAACATCTGGTCCTCCTCCAAGCACAGATCCAGACAAATAAGCCGCTGTTACAACTGGCAGGGAATCACATGCAGCAGACTGAAAGCAGGCTGGTGTGGCCTAATTGGAAATCTACACAGATACTGTGATGTAACATTTCACCCCAGAGGTCATAAGAAAAGATTTCCTTGTTTGTTTCTCAAGTTGAAGAAGTTTTTGGGAGGGTGTCAGCTGGGAGAACAGATGTTTAATGCTTCCGCAGGTGCACAAATACTTCAATGTAATGATCCTCTCTCAAGAAGAAAAATGTCAATTCTAGGATTCCTCCTCAGGGTGTAGGATTAGGGCCACTTAACACAACATTACAAATCTGAATATATTTAGAGTTTTGACTTCAGAAACTTTATTTACACTACTTCTGAATTTTGCATAAAAAGTCATAATTCTGGCTTAAATTTCTTAATTTAAAAAAGTCCAAATTCGTCAACAAGTCACAATACTGTAAATATGTGTACAATGCTGTCAATGTTAGAATTTTAACTAAAATCCTAGATTTCCAAGAAATGTCCAACCTTTTTATTTCAGTGGCCCTATTAATCATCCATAAAATAATAATAATAATAATAATAATAATAATAATAATAAACGATCAATTACTACTGTTATCAGCTTAAAAGCTTGCATCCTGAGTAGCATGGGTAGCTACACATCTAGAAAAATACTATGAATGCTGAACGATATAAACAGGTGTTAGAGCAACACATGCTGCCATCCAGAGAAGACCTTTTACAGGGAGGACTTTGTATAACAAGGCGAAACCACACCCTGCAGGTGTAACAGCAGCCTGGCTCTGAAGCAGAAGAGTCCTGTTGGTAAAGTGGCTCACCTGCAGTCTAGACTAGCCACCTATTGGGAACATGTGATGCATCATCGAATGAAAATAAGACAAAGCGATAACCGAGTGTTACTGGAATAAGTTCATGGGACACAATGTTTGACTAGGGAAGTATTCATGTTAATACGGGTATGTTTCCTGAAACACTTTAGTTTTTTATGCATAAAATATGAAGATAAATAATAAAATTAATATTATAACTCTGCCATATGTAGGGCGTCAGAAAAACAGATGTGATCAGATTTAACATCTTAAACTTCATCTTTTATCCTCACATGATACACATCTGGAAGTTTCTTTTAAGACAAAGAGTTCTCCTCTGGTTTTCATATTTTCTGATGGATTATTTGTCACAAAGGCAAATGATTCGGGCAGATATTTACAAAAAGGCAGAGAAGAAAAACAACAGTTATATTTGCGGTGGCAACCCATTGTTTCAGACCTCTTTTATTACAGCCTGTGCGTGCTTGAGGTCAGGACAGCTCGTTCCCAGTCACTTAAAATGAATATACAACTCCAATATGAGAGCCTGATTTGTGTAATTTTGCAGAGCAAGAGTAAATCCCCGGAGGACAGAGCCATGAGCGAGGGGGTTCGGCTAACCTAATTACAACATGTAGGTATGTGCTTTGAAAGTTGCTTTCTCTGAAACGACAACTATCGGCGCTTCCGAACAAAGGTGACCCCTGCTCGCATTATAAAAGGGGGCAGGCTGAGCCATTTCAGAGGAGGCATCTGGATTGTTTTCTTTTCTCTCATTCACGCTTTGTCCTGAGACACAAAAACCACCCGGCACAATGACTCGTGACGTCTAACAGCGAAGTTATGCCGCAGCCACAATGTGCAGCTAGGTGGTGAGCTGAGCAGATGCCCCCATGGGGTCAACGCTGGTTTTTGTCCCCTAATGTCCCCACAACAGAGGGAAGGTAGGGCCATAAAATTCCTGGCTGCTAAAGGAGACATTCCAGCAGAGGGAGGGGAGCGCCGGGATTGGACATAATTTAAAACATGGTTGTCATATTCTGAATGGAAGCTCCTCCGCCCCCTCCTCCAAAGTGGAAACCATTTATTTTCTGCAGCTCTTACGTAAGCACGGTGGCTGCTTAGTAGATTTGTTAGAGAGCGGGAAAAAACAATTAGATTGAGGGTGCAGAGGTGAACATAGTGTGATAAAAATGTGCATGCAAGTGGAGGGGAAGAGATAACGGACAAATTTGACAGGACCAAAGATACTCAGTCATTGATAAAGAGAATAATATACTACTGCAAGAATCAAAATGAGGCCAGTATATATGGAACAGGGTGAACACTGGCACTAATATAAATGAAATCCTTTCATGGGGCCAATAGGTTCCCAAACCCTTTGCCCTCCAGGTTGGTCAAAATCCTGTCTGCTGGGGCTCTGCCACTGTCAGACCTCAGCTTGAGACTGTTTTGAAAAGCTCTATGAGATTCATATTTGCCTCCAATTTACAGAGAAAATGCAAAAACCACAGCTTGAAATCCTGTTGTAGCATTAGCAGCAGTTCTCGACCCCAAAATTGTGCCTTAAACAAATTAATGTCCTTTGTACAATACATAAACTACATAAAACAATAGGTGCAATCTCAGTGAAATAACACGTTGGTTTTGATAAGATAAGATAAAATAAGATAAGATAAGAAGAGCTTCATTTATCCCCAAGGGAAAATTCGATAGGATTGGAGCAGAGTTTTGGAGAGGCGGCCCTTTGCTAGCAGCTACAGTGGGCCAGCCAAACCTATCAGTTAAGTCAGCTGAGCTTGTACCTTTATAGCTCCCATGAACAAGTGTGTATGTGACCTCCTGGGCTTTTGCAGCAAGCCTCAGGTGGACACTCAAGGAACTGCAGTGTTGCACGTAGGCTTTGGCTTCATCGCTCATGACCAAAGGTTGACATGTGGTACAGACCTCCACAGTCGCTTACAACAATGTACAAACCAAAAGCTCCCCTTCTTCTTGATTTTTGATTGGTCAGTGATGAAGAGGTGACACTGACAAGTAAAAGCAAAAGTTGATTTTCAACTAAGAGTGTTTCGACCTGAAACTAAGAGTGACTTGGTGACACTGGGCACTTAAAACATTGGACTGGATAGAGGACACACCCCTTTACTGCAGTGACCTCTCCCTACAAAATCTGCAGATTTTGAACCTCTGTCTGCTGTGAATTTTGGCTATTTACCATTTTTAGATGGGGTTATGGTGGGACAAGTGAAGAGAGGTAAAGAAAGTTGGCTGAAGAAATCTGAGCTGACATGAAACACAGAGTCTGGAAGTCAAACCAGCAGCCACTACGCTGAGGGCCGCAGCCTCTGTATATGGGATGCCTGCTCTGCTCAATGTGCTTAACTGGTTAGTGCTGCTGGGTTTCTCAGTCTCTTCTCTCTTTTTCTATTTTAGGTTTGTCTGGGTTTTTTTTTTTTTTTTTTTTTGGTGAACTTTTTGATACAGAGCTGTCCCCATAGTCCTGATTTATGCAGGGTTTTGATTGCTTGTGTAGTACTAAACCAGAGACTGAAGACAGTTTTCAACTGAGTCAGGATAATGGAAGGTGACTGCTCTCTACATCACTTTGCATTTTGTTTCCATTAAATGAAGAGATGAATGCTCCTCAGCACAGCCCCTGGTGTCCTGCATTCCTCAATTCTCACCATCCCTCTGCCGTTTCTGGGGAAACAGACCCAGCAGAGCCGCTGACGATCTGTGAATTTCAACGACTTTCGGCTGCAGAAGAGGATTTGATGAGACCCTGGCAGAGGCAGCAGCCCCCACACAGATGGCCGGACCGGCGTCATCCTCAGATGTGGCTGGATTAAGCTCAGAAACAAAAGTGACACTTACCGTTTTCTGCCTGTCTCCACATCTTCACTATAACGCCTGTTGAGTTCAGAAAAGAAGCTCTGGGTCTGGGAGACGTTTCTTTGAAGGCAAGTTCAATTAAATTGACCCCTTAGTGACGTCAAAGTGCCTCCGAAGACAGACCATGACATCAAGGTTTGGAGTGAGGCCAAGGGGGCCAGCAGGAGCTCAGCTACTGTTGCTTTCTGCCATAAAGCTCTACAAATTCATGAAAAAAACGATTAAGATTGATCCTGAACTGATAACTAGGTGTTAATTTAAAAACAAAACAAGCTCAAGTTTTTAGAGATGAGTATATTAATCATTCATAGTCTTTACAAACTAGTTTTACTTGCTACATACCTACTGTTTATTTCAAGCTGATTCTCTCACCGCTGAAGTTTTTGGTCAAAATATCTTATTAGACTCAAGATAAGCTACATTGACCCTGCAAGTGTTTTTATAACTTGTAGCTATTTTAGGATATTATGCAACGATTACAAAGATCGACTCGTGCAGTGAGCAAAGATTTCCTCACCTCATGTCTTAAAAATGAGAATTGCATCTTGTGAACTGAAAGGAAAAGTTTCCTACTACATGCATATTTCCTTTGTTCTTGTATTGTTTTGTGAGAATGCGCAAGACTGAGCCTTTGACAAGCAGCACAGCATAAAAATGCAGTATCTTCAATCCAACCAAAGATATGTAGTAGACTAGAGGTACGCTCACATAATCTCAGCCTGTCTGCGCTTATATGGCACATCCCAAAAACAAAGAAATCACCTGTTTGAGCCGAGAGCAGCCAATGAATAACTGAATATATCTCCATACATTACCATATCTGCTGGCTGGGTGGATTGGTTTGATTTAAACTGAAAGAAAATACAGTTTATGAACTAGAGGGAGGTTTAAAAGATTTTGTCATTTCTTTGCCATTTTATTATTCTACCCATGATCTAGTCAATAAAAAAATAAAGAAGAAGAGGAAAGGTTTCATGCAGTTTGAAAATTCAGATACTGCTAAGTACAACATAGCTTTGGCAGAGTGTTTTGAGAAAAGGGGGAACGTTTTAACCCTCTTTTAACACATACTGTATTTCAGTCAGAAACTCTCATTAGAAATGAAAAATGAAAAATAAAAACGATATAAAGTGAGTGTATTGTTTGCAGACATACTTACATATGACACTTAAGTTTTGAGTTAAGAGCTTCTTGTTTTATTTTGTTGTCCTGAATCCAGTCTGTGTTTCTCTAACCTCACTAGTTTCACCTGTGTCTTGTGTTCACACATGTATTTAGTCCCGTGTAGGCTCATTGCATCCTCCCCTGACAGAGTGATCCCATGTTTCTAGATCTTCATTTTTACCTTCCTTATGACCTCCTGGTTTCCTTCAGTGTTTTTGGTTTAAAGGGAATTTAGATTTAATGACATTTGTTGGACAATAAATAAATCTCTGCCAACTGCATGTGGGTCCTTTCCCTCTTTGTTTGACATGTGACAATTTTGACATTTGCCAATTACTGGTGTAGAAAGTAAGCGGCTGAGATTTCAGCTGATGTACTGTGGGCTGAGCTTGACTTCATGCTCTGCCTGAAACAGCACCATGCCCAAATTTTCAAGCATCATCCTCTATATTTGTTAGTTCGGCCTTACTTACTGAAATAGTGGCAGCAGTTCCCTGAAAGATGATTCAAGAAATTCCAGGACAAAGGAGATAAGCTGTAAATTTACTGGCATATGCACACATGGAGTATCTCCCTTCTGCTCAGTGTTGACACGTGGATTGATTAGACTGCTTTTGTTAACAAGCAACTCTGGTTAGTCAGGCGCTCCATCATTCTGATATGATCTCCTTGGCTGTGTTATACAGAAGGCTGCAGGAGGATTTGCAGAGGGAAGCTCAAATACTTTAAGTGTAAGTTAGACTGTATCTGGTTTCCATCCACGTTTAAACGGGTTCTTGTTTTTCTCATGTATTTTCTCGACATCGATTTTCCTGTTTTTTGACTCCACATATTATGGGCTTTTGGGATGCGCTCCAGTTTTCAAGAGCTGCCTCCGGCTGTGCTTT